TTGTAGTACATGTTGCAAAACACTTAAAACTAAAATCCCCATTGATTATTACCAGTTAAAAAATACCAATACCTGGTTTCAGTTATTAATTTACACTAAACTAAATTTATAGATTAATAGCTCTCTGTGGACTGTGTTGCTTTTTAAACCTTTAGAATTCCATTTTATGTACCTTCTCTCCATTTTGTGTCTTGACTGGAGTTTGGTTTTTTTAATTAGTTTAATATACAAGCTGTGCTTCTGAATATGCCTTGATTACTTCCAAAATTTCTGAAGCGATGCTTTCCTCTCATGCATTTTGTATTTTGAATATGCTCGACTGGCAGACTTCAAACATGTTCATTTCGTTTAACCTTTCAACCATTGTAGTTGCAAATGACATCAAAATGCTCTGCTCAGAGAAAAGACAGTTTCATACCCTTCACTGAGTTTGGGAGATTTAACCAGTGTAACTCCTTTGAATGATGGAAAATTTGTAAAGTCCAGGCTGCCCTTGTCCCAGAATAGAATTATGCAGCTCTTTCAGCTAAGTGCAGATTTTCCGATTTTTTTGTAGGTTCGTATTGATCCGATTTATACCTGATTGGATTATCTGCTGCTGTGGCAGTATATTTCTACTAGAAACACATGAGAGGGAGATTACACTGCATTCTTAACTGGATTCTGATACATCGTATGAATAAATTGCAGCTTCTTTCTGCTCCTCTTATCCAGTCCAAAGGGCACTGTATATGGAGTCTCAGCCCATAAGGACTCTGCCCTTTGCTTGAAATATTCCATCTAGTAGCGCTTCAACTCTTTCACTGACAGTTCAGAATGGGTAAAAAAAATACCACACTTCACTGCTAAATAACATGTTAAAGCTGAGCAATTCATATCAGTCCCCCTGAAGTTTAATTGCTTTATAAGCATTAATCTGAGTTAAGCAAGTCTCACCAGGAGAACACTCCAGCGATTCTGATATTGGTGGTGTAGCAATTTATGGAGCTCTGACAGTCCCAGTTCATCCCCAGCAGCTACAAAGATACTACCAGACTAATACTTAAAACTGCTCTTGTTTCACATGATTCCTGTATTCCTTAAAGGAATAGAATAGAAGCTCTGCATATCATTTGATACAAATTAATTTCCCTCCTCCCATCTGCTTTTTCAGTGCCTGCAATTTTATTTCACGTACTTCTGTCTAGCATGGTGGGTGTGCATGTTGTGTGCAAAGCAGGCCAAACAGAATTTTTCCACAAGCCTGTTGTAAGAGGGCAGTATGTGTTGCTGTCAAAGTTAATGTCTCCTCACTGACACTTGTCTGTTAGGATTGTTCATTTCCCAGGAATGCAATTAAAGACATACAATTTTACTGCATGTCAACCAGATCTACTAATATTGTATTTTTTATATCATCTGAGGGGTTTGTGTTTGCTCTTTTTTAAATACATCAAGAAGATTTTTTTTTAAAATTCTTAGTTACATTGAAATTCTAGTGATGACAATGATGTAATAATAATAATAATAATAATAATAATAATAATAATAATAATAATAATAATAATAATAATAATAATAATAATAGATATAATAATGTCAATTGAGGAGGGGTTATGTGCCAACTTTGCTGTATTGCTGAAATAAGAATAATCATTATCCCCAAAATAAGTATTTTTATGTGTGTGCTTTAGGGAAATTAAATGAAATATTAAAATTACACTTTACTGAATGCAGGTTAGAGCATTGTTTCCTCAGACCCCTCACATTTCAAGCTATTGGGACTCTTTGCAGCATCAGCTGGATCAGAATTTAGTTGCCAGTGTTTCAAAAAGGATATCATGGTAGAAGACCAGGGCTGAAAATGTTGCTTGTAAGTGGAAATCGGTAATGGATTTGGATTATTTTGATGTAGAGTTTTCAAATATTCTTGTGACTGAAGGAAGTGCAGTTGTTTTTTACCATTTCCTTTCTGTACAGGATAAGGTGTGAAATCTGAGTGTAGATAAAGCAGAAAATCTTGTTACCAAATTTATGTGAAGAATATATAAAATCCATACTGCCCTGTATAATGTCCACCCTTTTTATTTCCTGTTTACACTATCAACATAAAATAGGCAATATAGTAAAATCTTTGTATCTAGTCATATCCTCAAAAATGCCTGAAACAGAATATACTAAGTTAAACATACTTATATTAGGTGGGTTTTTCTTAATGCCAATAGAAAAAGCAAGATGTACAGCTTCTTTTCTAGCCTATTCTGCAATTGTTTTCAGCTCCATTAGGACAAAGTTAATGCCACACTTACTTTCTACTAAATCCTATTTTGAAGGTTAATTGGAACTTATTATAATGCATTAAAATGATTCCCCTGTGTGGAGGGAAATTTCTCACTAAATGATGTAATAAAGATAAATTTTCTTTCATTTTGTCTCACCTGGTCTCTCCCAAATTACATGACATAAAATACATCCAGAAAGTGAGAAGTCTGTTATATTTTGGAGATGTTAAATTTTGAGTATGTCACTTAGTACCTTTTATTAGAAGTAATTTTTATTTTAAAAGTAAAAGTTATTTTCTTGCATTTCTGGACTTATTTTAATTACTTACGTTCAAGCATACAGTAGCAAGCAGAGCAAGGAAAAAAAATTCCATGGTGCTCTCATCATGTGTTCTGAAACTTAATATAAAATTGTATTGGCTTTTAATAGTGTCTAATATAAAGATAAATGCTAGACATATCTGTAGGCCATTTGATTAAATATTTATGCCTATATTAAGCAATACTTGGAAGCTTTTTATTTATTTATAATTTTGTATCTTTTTAAGTCATATTCTAGAACCAATGTCCTACAGTCTGTTCAACTCTCAGAAGAGCTCCTAAAGGGCACAAGCACTAAAGCAAAGAAGCAGAACTCTATCTTATTTGATAAAGCTACAAAAAACCACCCCTACTACCAAAGAGGAGAATGTCTAACCTTTCCCTGAAATAGAAGTAAGGTCATGAGTTCTGTTGTGAAATATACATTGACTGGAGTAGATTGCTTACTGGTTTCAGAGTCATAAAGGAAAAGCCACTGTCAGTGAGAAAACTGTGCAAGAGAAAATGCCTAAATAGCCCAAGTAAGCAGGTTGTGAAAGAATTAAAAACTATTTTAAAGGAATTAATTATGTTAAACTAGCATATTTCCAAAATTAAATGTTACCATTTTAGATATGAATTTCAAGCCATCTCTTTTTACTTATCTATTTAATCTAATTAAGCCAGTTTAAATCAAGACAGCTAATAGAAGCTCAGATACTTTGTCCTTTATTAGTTTTATTCTTAAACAGCTACAAAGCAACCCACAACCATATGTCACATTGAGTAGTCACTTGGCATATTACTATATAAATAGCTCATGAATTCTATATGAGGGAAAATTTCTTCTTAAGAAATATTGGAAGAGGTTTCATTTTTACCTACAAACCTAAATAATAAAACATTTTTTTCTCCACCACAGTTGCATGATCCATATAAATACTATAGTAGCCTGTAGCTAGAAAGTAAGTAATTGAGAATAGTAGGGTTTCAATAAGGGATTTACTGTCTATTCATACAATTTTCCCCTACTACCTGACACATAATGTGAGTTATTGTAATAACAAAAAAGTATCACAATTTATATTATTAATAGGAAATTGAGTTGATGATATTGAATATGTACAGGCAAAGGAGAGCATGTAAGAGCCTGTTGAACTCTGAATTAAGTGAGCCCTGTTATATTAAAATCTCCCTGTTTACTTAACGGGATGGGGAGGAGGAATCAGGTTTTTTTTTTAAGAGACTGCTTATTTTTTCTCTTTTAGTATGAGATGACACATTAATATTACATGACTTTCCATACTAAATAATTAGAGACCCATGAATTCCACTTCAAATATGAAAAACTATAATTTTCTGTGTTTTGCATTTTTGTGACATTATTGTAGAGGATTGAGAGAGATCAAGCAAAGGCTCTAAATATTGAAACAATAACTTCTGATAAGAATGTTTCTCTTTTATAATAGTCTCAGCAGTCAATAACACATAGTTTTTTGCTGTATATGTTGTGGGGTTTCTTTTTCATGCATAGTTATTGGAGGAATAACCTCATTACCTATGCTGTTGAAAACCAAGCTTTTGTGAAAAGAATGGAGGCATTTTTCATAGCAGTTTACACAGCTGACCATAAGCCAAGCATGGATCAGTACATCACATTCTGTAACTCCTGTGCAAATTCTCTCATTGATTGGAGTTGACAGGGAAATGCCCATTGTTAAAACCCATCCACTGTTAGCAGAAATGTGGCATGAAACAGGTTGAACATGTGATAGCTGCTGGCACTTTGAATGTTGTCTATTCAAATGTCAGATCAGTAAAGTAGTTTGGGGTGGGGTTTTTTTACATTGTGCTTAGCACAAGCTGGAAAAATCTAGTGTGATATTCATTTCCTGCTGAGTCAGAATGCAGCAAAGCTCCTCCATGGAACATGAATGCAGTGGCCCACAGGAGATGGTTACTTTCTGGACTGTGCTGGAGAAGAGACTGCACTGTGTTTGGAAAAGTAGAAATTATCAAAGAGCTTCTGTGACATTTGTGAAGGAAAGTATTTCAATATGTTTTTACAACTCTTCTTTCAGAGCACAGTTTATCTCTTTGGATGCTCTGCCTTTAGATTGGGGTTTTTTTAGTGAATTGCTAACATTCGTGAATATGTGGTTGCTAGAAGAGATAGCACTTCAGAGTGTTTAGCACATAATATTGAAAGAGGATTAAAAGCAACAACAGATCTGTAACGATAACTGGATTATGTTACAGAAATAATTTTAGTAAATGAGGTTTACCCAATATATTTCTCTAAACAGAAATCTCAGCATATGGCTGTTTCTATCCAAACTAGAGAAGTTGGACTACTTCCCCTCTTTCAGAGAAAATAGACTGAGAAGTCTCCCAGCTGTATTCCTGCTCTACTAATTTTGTTTCCCTCCTTTCTACCAGTTTTTGCCCATGTGGAGAAGAAAAGGCATTTCTTGTGTTGCCCACAAGTGAACCTTTCCAAGAAGTTCTTTTTTGTGGAAGGTAAGTTTCTCTTTATTTATTTATCTATCTATATCTTTTCCTTCTCTTCTTTCCTAAATATGCTCAGCTTGTATTTAAAGGAAACTTTTAAAATCTTTGAAAATATCACATGTTGAGTAGACATGGATGATGTCTTATGGAAGTTGCTGAGTTCATGTATTAATTTTAGGTTATATGTGAAATATCGGCAAATTCCTTTCACAGAAAAAAAAAAAAGTGTGAGAGATGAATGATAAAACATTGGTTTGATCAACTGGGCAAAGATGATCTTCCATTAGGCAAGAGAGGCACAAGTTTCCCATCTACTTTCCCCTGTCAGCATGACTGAGCTCCAATATTGAGAGTTTCATCTACAAGTAATTGCTTCTGGCCTCTCATAAAAACACTTTGTCTACACAGTATTTGATAAATGAGTACCAAGAAGGGCCATAACTTGTTGCACAGTCCATTCACCTTTCTTTCCATGTCTGGGCAGAAAGTCTGGCCATTTGTGGGGTCATACGTAAGAACTTGCTATTATTGATTCAGTCTGGTCCTGTGAGTCACCTCCTCTCGCCAGCAAGGGAGATTATTCCCTCTGATTCTGGATCTGCTCTCCAGCAGTCACATGGAGCACTGTATGGCCTGCTTGTGTCTTCTACCATCCAGAAGATGCCTTGCTGTCTTCAGCTTTTCTCCCTTTTTAGTAAAAGTTTCAAGTAGAGGAGTTCATAAGGTACAGGATGGGTGGCACTGGGACAAAAAGTGAGGAAGTCAGAACTCGAGCAGCAAAAGGAATGATGGATTCACTCCTGTGGTGCTTAGTCAGGACTTGTACAAAACACAAGTGCTTATCATAGGATAACAGATGTGCTTGTTCTTGAATAAATTGCAGTGGGTACTGTCATCATTGGACGTGTCTAGTAGTTTATATTTTGTTCAGAAAGCTGGTGTGTGCTATATAATACTCACAGGAATTAAATGGTCTGCAATTGTATTGTATTGATCCCATCAGATAGATTCTCTGGAAGACAGACTAACAGAAGGACTCTAGGTTTTGTAAAAATTAATTCATATGTTAAATGAAAGAATTATTATCTAGGAGAGCTGTTTATCTACGTAAACAATTGTCAGCCTGATTCTTTGTTCAGTGAGATATAAAGCTTTTCAAACAGCTCACATAGAATGAGTTCATAGTAGCAAAACACTGAATCATAGAATAATTTGTTTTAGAAAGAATCTCCAGGAAATCCAGTTCCCTTTGCTCAAAGCAGAGCTCAATTCCAAGGCATAGTGGCCTGACCAGAGCTGTAGCCAATCAAGGATATCTGTAAGGTTGCAGGTTTCATTTTCATCTGTCTTGACATGTATTCAGTGTTTGAATACCTTGTGTACTATTTTTTTTTTTCTAATCTGTAATTGAAATTTCCCTAGTTATAACTTGTGTCTCTTGGTATCGAACAAGCAGGTGAGACAACTCTAGGTTCAGGTTAAAAGCTGGAAATAAGAAGCAGTTTAAAATCATGACAAATACCAGAATTATTAAAAATACACACAGTGATTTAAAATTAGACATGGAGCTTCACTTTGATCTCCTGTCACTACAGATTTCATACTTGTTGTGGAAGAGGTTAGATTCATCATGACTGCCCCTGGGTTTCAAGGTCAGAAAGAACATGCAGGTTGCAGCTCAATATTTTAAATAGTCCAAATATTAATGGAGCACATCATAGGGACATACCTTCTTGTGGTATCATAAAAAAAGTGTCTCAAAGAGGAGGATAAAACATGAATATATTGACATGATCTCTTTTTTTCCCCCTGCTTAATATTGCTTTTAACACTCAACAAGTAGAAGTATGTGAATTTTGGTGAGGGAGCAGGATTCAGAGGGACAGTGGTTAACCTCTTCCTTTCTTTAATTCCTTATCCTGCCTGCTTCCAGAGAAGCATGCAAAAGACCAGCTACAAAATCTTTGATATAGAGCAGAATTTGCTTGAAGGAGTAGCTGGCCATATTTCTCAAGAAATAGGAATTATTTGAAGCCAAATATCTTTAAAACCCTCAGTTTCCATATATTTTTAATAAGTCTCTGATCAGAGAATATTTTAGTTGATATGATGTATATAATACCAGGGCAGCATTAATTAACCCCAAAAAGGTGGCAGTTCCCAGGAGAGAAAAAAAAAAGAGCAGGAAAGTGGATATTGAGAAGGAAAAATTTCCATAAGAAATCAGGAAAGCTAAAACCAACATAGAGTGAGAAGGTAAAAAATACACGAAAAGCTAATAGGAACTAGTGATTACATTTTAATATTCAAAGGAAAATGTGTATAAATAACAAATAGTAATAAGAAGTATTCATACTAAAACAGGTAAGGAGAAATCCAACATCTAAACTTAGTCAAAGAAAAAACAATCAATAACGTTTTTTTACAGACAGACTTTTTTAGAGACTCTGTGAAGTGAGAAAGACGACGAAAGTTGCTTTTTCTTGTACAGTACATTATATTAAAAAAAGAGTTTGAAAAAAAATTGTAGAATAGCTCATGACACAAACTACAACATGAAGATCACTGTGCTCTGGAAGTTGAGCTAATGATCCCAGTTTAGCAACTAGCAAGATTGCAACAATGCTAGTCACAGACACTTGTTATTCCTTATGTTAATGTCAAAATTTGGTACTTAAAGGTGGTAAAATCAGTAAAACACATTCAGTTTGAAAACGGGTTCAGGGAGAGATGATCCATGTCTGAATAGAATTGGTTGGAAAGTGGGTTGGGTTTTGTAAAAGGCCTGGAAATATTAATTAGAAGGATAAACACTAAAATACCAAGGTTATTCATGTTGGAAGTTTTCAAAGAAAGGTCATAATTTTCCATGAAAAGCAGACACATATTTTAGAAGATTTTTGGTTAATCAGGAATCTAGTTTTATGTTGTAGGACAACATTTGCCAGCAGACCACTAACAGTACCTTCCTAGTAATCCTAATTCCCCTCAGGTACAGAAGGTAAATGATACCCAAGATGTGAAAGCCTAAAACCATTGCTTTTTTGTTTGGCTTCTTAATTTTACAGCAGTTCTTTGCTTTCCTGAAGGCTGGCATTTCTCCTTTTTTGGTCCATTTTGTGGTTTGTTCATCCTTTGGAAAGTTAGCATCTTGTGACATTTATGTCGACCTAAAAGTCATCTAGAAGATGATATTTGGAATGAAATAAAAAGAGTAGTAGAAGGTAATAAGGAAGCACACAGTGTAACAAAGGATAAATGATAAATGGTAAGTTCTGTAAAAGATGTACTTTTTGTGTCTTAGAAGATGTCTATCTTGTACACTTTGAAAATTGTGGATGGTCTAATGTTTACTTTGTCTGATGCAACATGCCACAAATATATCCACAATACAAATAGTAAAAACAACAGTAAAGCAGAGATGAAAACCTTTAGAGCACTAAAGACATAAATCGAAAGAGGCAGGAAATGAGTTATTGGAGCAATTGAATGGGAAGGGGGCTATGTCTGTACCAATTTTTAGAGACATATGTATGCTTTTTACATAGTATGTTGTTATGGTTTTTTGTTACTGCATTGTCTAATGTTTACATCTTTGTTTTAAAACCCTGGAGGTGAGTTTTACAAATTCTGTTGCTTATAGAAGCTATACATCCACCTTTCTCATATCTCCCATCTTCTGTTGGATATACAGAAATGGAAAATACTTAAAGCACAGTAAGAACAAGAGGCTCATGAAAGAGACTTCACTGATTGCTGGCTGGTAAAATGTATTGACGGAAAGATCATGTTGCTTAAAAGAGTTGCTTCTTGTCTTGTCCTCAAATAAAAGAACAAAAATCTGAATGCTAGGAGAGAGCAATAACTTCCCAATGGAAAAGGAAAGAAATCACATATTTACTAAAACAAATAGTCAGGAAATAAGTTTATTGAAATAGGCCACATTTTCATATTTAGTGTGCCTTATACTTACTGAAAATGCAAGAGGCAGCTGGACATAAGTGCTGACTTTGCCCATCATTTGACTGTGGCCAATTCCTTGCTAGTCTAGCAATGAAGGGATGAGTTTGAAAACCTGCAAAATGCGGTTCTGCCCTCATTTCTCTGAGCAAGCATGTGCCTGAATCTGGAAGAAGTTTTTATTTTCTGGTAGATAAGAGCTGGTTTTGTAAATGCTGGTGATTGTCTATCCCCAGAGCACATACTCCTGGCTAATGCTTTGTTTATAATACATGCACTGTTTCCTGAAGTGTTACAAAATATGATAAGACATTTGTTTAAGTGAGGCAGATGCATCTGGTGGCAAAACTGCTGCACAGAGTGGCAGTGCAGCAGGGCAAATGTGCCACAGACCTCTCCTTAGCTGAGGTGTGAAACAGCTGTCACAGCCATGACACCCTTGAAAACCAGAGCATCTGGTGAATGCCCTTGGAAGACACATTAGCTTTCATCCCAGAAGCCACATATTGAAGGAGACACTTGTTTCAAGCTAAACACTTATTTTTGTAATTGTATGCCCAGCAGCTGGGTGGAGAAAAACAACGGGCTGCTCCACAAACAAAAATTAACAAAGCCTAATCCAGATTTGACCTAGGTCCCCACATAACCCTGGACCTCTTTCATATCCATTCCACTCCCCCAAAATTTTATTTCCTCAGAGCATCACCAGCTTCCCCCTGTGTTGCCTTCCTCTCTGGCTGAGCTATAGGCAGCATGCTGCCCATTCAGAGCAGAGGTTGGGGTGTGTTGACCACCCATTGCCCTCCAGGATAAATGGTACTTATTGGAAATACCTCTCCTCTGCCCAATTGCTCATTTCTTTTTAGCAACATAATTATCTTCAGTACCCCTCTACTGATTTGTTTGAAATTGGACAGCAGGTTCTCAAGTTACCAGGAAAGACCAAAAGCTCCAGGTGTCAAGTCTCATTTCCTTGGGAAACCAAAGTTTAAATAAATGGTCACAGATCAGTGATTAGATTGCAGCTTCTGCTGAGAACTTCATGAGCTGAACCATTCAGAGTTTCAACTCTAAAATAAATCCATGCAGTATGATACTAAGTTTCATCAGCATGACTATTATATAGGTCTCATATGCCACAGAAAAAAGCTACCTTAGAGGTAGTTTTAGCAAAGGAAGCTGAGCTTATAAAAAGTAGAACTTGCATATTTAACTCGCTAAAGCTTTCCCTCTCTGTTTTTCTCTCTCTCCTTCCCTTTGCTCTTCCACTTTCCTTTCCTGTTTTTGCCTTTGCTTTCAACAAAAATTCCCCTTTGGCTTTTTCAGATGGATGCCTGGCTCAGAGTAAAGGACATGCAGTGCACAGTCCCTAGCAGAAGCTGAAAATGGATGATGTCTACTGATGCTTTGCGATGATGTCATCTCCTCTTTTTTTGTTTGAGATGGGTGATAGGAAAAGGTTCTAAAATAAGACTGAGCGACTCCTTCATCCCTTGACTTCTCTCTCCACGGGCCTGAAAGCCATCTGAGGAAATGACCACTCAACTACCAGAGGAGTCCATGGAGACCCAGAGCTCAGACGAGCTTGAGTGCAAGATCTGTTACAACCGCTATAACCTGCGGCAGAGAAAACCAAAAGTGCTGGAGTGCTGTCACAGAGTGTGTGCCAAATGCCTTTGCAAGATCATAGACTTTGGTGACTCCCCGCAAGGAGTCATAGTGTGCCCATTCTGCAGGTTTGAAACGTGCCTGCCAGACGATGAGGTTAGTAGTCTTCCTGATGACAACAACATCCTTCTGAATTTAGCTTGTGGGGGAAAGGGAAAGAAGTGCCTACCAGACAACCCAACAGAACTCTTGTTGACTCCCAAAAGGCTGGCATCTCTGGTTAGCCCTTCTCACACCTCTTCTAATTGCCTGGTTATAACAATCATGGAAGTACAAAGAGAAAGTCCCCAGACTCTGAACTCAACCCCCGTGGTGGAATTTTACAGGCCTACAAGTTTTGACTCTGTTGCAACTGTGTCCCACAACTGGACAGTGTGGAACTGCACATCTTTGCTCTTCCAGACCTCGATTCGGGTGCTAGTGTGGTTGCTAGGGCTGCTGTACTTTAGCTCCTTGCCTTTAGGGATTTATTTACTGGTATCCAAGAAAGTCACCCTTGGGGTTGTCTTTGTAAGCCTTGTTCCTTCGAGCCTTGTTATTCTCATGATTTATGGCTTTTGCCAATGTGTTTGCCATGAAGTTCTAGACTGCATGTCATCTTGATAAAAAATATGGTAAAATAAGGTGTATTACCAGATGTGTAGCATAGTTGATTTATCCTGTTTTTGTATTCTTTGTATTCTTATTTATTCTTATTGTCCATCCCACTAAATTCAAGCAGTGGCCCTAGTTACATGGTCCCTTTTTTTCCAACTGAATTTGACACCCCTCACCCCAAGCATTTTTTGAGCTAAGAACTGGAAATAAAAATTACAGGTTGATTTTAAAGGGCTGAATATTAGAAAGGGATAAAGCGAAGTTGCCAAAATTGGTGCTTGCTGCTGCTGCCACTGTTCAAATGAGTAGGACTTTGCTTTGTATTGGACTGATCAAGTCAGTTCATGCTGTAGGATTCACCCAAGAAGAAATTACTGTAGCAGACACCTTCCAGATGCAAGTACTGCATCTCTTCACCCAAAGCATCTCATGCTCTGAAATATCTGTTATTTCCAATCCATCATCATTTATAGCAAATTAAATCACTCTACTAATTAATATTATAAGAAGAATAAAACAAACTACCAATTTTTTTTAGTTCTTGTTACAGCAAAAATACTTGTGGGAGGTGGGAGGCCAACTTGTTTTTTTTTTTTTTGAATGTTAAAAACTTGTCTCCAGAACACTTTCCCCAAAGAGAAGCCCATTTTTTCCTTGTCATACAATTGCAGCTCACTGTGAAATATTCCTGCTAATGAATACTTCTGGGGACCCAGACACGTGTTTGCTGTTCTCCAGGTGCACTTATTTCAGTGTACACACCTTAGGCTTCCCTTTGAGGGTTCAGAGCTCTGCAGATTTCTCTAGCTATGTTCTATGATGCTTACCCTCCCTCCCAGCATTTCCACAACCACTAGTGACAATTCCAAGCCACCAGTACTTCCTTCCTAATGGATGACCAACCTCATGCACATGTACTCTGTGGTAGCTGTGCTGGAGAATTTGGCTTATGTGACTTTAGCTCTCAAGATAGACTTCTATTCCCAACCATTATGAAACAGATCTTCAATCAGTAATACAAATTTGAGAAAAAAAAAATCTGAAATGGTTAACCGGGGTATTGTTTGGATGGTTTGGGTGTTTGGTTGGTTGGTTGTTTTTCTTCTGAGTTCACAGAATGAGCACTGTAAGGAGATAATGTGACTTTGGGAAGATTTCTGTTTAAGGCATAGTCCTTCAAAATGTTTCAATACTCTGAATTCTCCCTTCACCGTTGTGAGTTGATGGCAATGTAGATGTGGCAATTAGCATGTCTCCATTAGTGGAACTCAGAGGAATTACTGATACTTTACCATTCCACAAATAGAACCAGGCCCTGTAAGGCTTGCTTGTATGTTGCATGGTTTAGGCTATTTTTTCAACTACTGGAAGAACACAAAAATAAGTAATATTTAATGTTTATGTGTATAACTAGGTCTAGCAACACCACAGCTGCAAACTGGTTTTCTTGTGCACAGCAGAGTGGAGTTGAGCAGTGCAAGCCTGGTTTTTGGGTCTGGCACAAGATTTAGTTATTTCAGGGCAGTGTAAAAGGGAGAGGGGTTTGTTGCATGAAAATTGAATGTATGGCCTAACAATATACTCTTAGAGCAAACACACTTCGGTAAGAATGAAAAAATGACAGTGGGAAAAGCAGAGCCTGTCAAGAGGATTTGAAGTTAAGCTGGTTCAATTTTTGTAGATGGCACAGGTGATATCTGCAGTTTTGTTCCTATTGCAAACAGAGAAAGTGTGAAAGTGTAAAGGTCCTGCTTTTCTTGACCCTCATTTTATAATAGTGCGTATATATGTGTGTGTATGTACATATAGACACATATGTGAGAAGAAAACTTACAGTGAAATTATAGTTTTCAAGTGTATGGAGTTATGGAGCTATGTATTGAATGATTAAAGGAAATGTTTCAGACTTTTCTGTAATGACAATAATTATGCCTAAAATATTTTCAGAATTCCTAGAAAATGCTGTTCCTAAGTAGTTGTTTTTAATGTTTGTGGTAAAGCACATGTAGTTAGAAGAGGAATCATCTCCAGTCAAGGTTTGACTCATCTATGAACTCATAAATTTTAAGTATCCAACAACAATCGTGTCAAAAAAAAAAAAAAAAAAGAAAAACAGAAACCTATGTGGTTTTGTAGAACTTCATAACTTTTGGAAAGATGTATTTGTAGTGTTAGGGTTTATATGTTTTAGGATTTGTTCAATTTGTCTGAATATAGTGTCTCTAATAAAGGGCTGACTAACAGAGGTTATAGGTTTTGCAAATGTGTGATATATATTAATTACCTCTGCACAACATGCTCTACAGTGCTACCTGTTGTAATTTCCTTTTGATTTTCAGCTGATTATCTTAGCTCCAGCACCAGGTATTTTGTCCTCTGTTTTAAAACATAGCCTAATTGTAGCAAAATCACAGTGGTATCAGTTACAAATCACAGTAAAAATTAATACACCAGTTGTTATACTTCTCTACTTTTCAGACTGCCAGCACATTAAATTTATGCTGTTATTTCAGGCTGTGCTGCATTTCTAACCCACTCAAAGATGCAAGCATGCAAAAGCATATTGATTGTACAGCTATGCTGCCACTCAGCCAGAGCATGCTATTGCAGCTTTGGGGTCATGAAATATCTATATGACTTACAATATGGCCATTCAGAATTGCTGGGAGATACATCTCAATTATTTGTGGAGAAGAATTTTTGCTGTGTGACTGAGACTAGAAAAACTTCAGATGTTACTCTTTCCTTATTTTTATTCTCTACCATCCTTTAGACTTTTGTCTAAAAAAACCTGAAAAGTTTTGTGTCCTCTGCAGTAGAATAACTGTGCTGAAATCGATGTAAATGGGGCTAAAATCAAGACTTGCATAATTCTCTGTCTGGTTTTCCTGCCTTTTCTCTGACTGTTTTTCTCTCCTTGGGAAGTAATAGCTCCTGGGGCTGTAAAATACTGCCTGCACACCAAGGCATTTCCCTTTCAATGGGATTTATTCCTGCTGTGCCCAGACATGACTCAACCAAGTACAAAGTGCTAGAAATTCATTACTATAGGATTAATTTAGTCCAAATGAGATTTTTGTTTTGTTGTGTTTTTAATTCCTGCTTATCCTGTGGACGCAGACCCTCTCCTTGCCAGCTGCCCATTTACAATATGATATTGTGGTATCCCCTGAGGGCTGGGGCAGGATGATGCAGGAGCAGCTGCTGGGCACAGCTGAGGAAGGATGTGCTGAGCTGAGCCATCCTGTGAGCAGGACTTGGTGAGGGATGAAGCTCTGCTTGAGCCCAGAGCCCAAAGGGAAATTAACAGAGCGTGGGTTAACAGAGTCTGTGGGCTCTTACATAGAACCTGGGGCTGGGGTTAGGCTGACTGAGAAGCTGAGCAAAGCAGAGAGGGGGGTGCTGTCTATGCCTGGGGCAAACGGGCTGTTTTGAATAAATATTTTGGGGTAGAGCTGCTGCAAACAGTATAATGTTTTTCATACTGACCCTTCTGGGGTTTAAAATTCATTTGGTAATTAAATTAATTCACTACTGGTATTACAGTTGAGTACATTTACTTTCCAAATGGCAAAATATTGAACTTTATTCTAATTTAAATGGATCCTCAGATTGGGGCATACTCCCACTGTTATGTTAACTATTTAAAGCTACAGAACTGGCCAAAGTAAGGGCTGGTGTCTTTGATTTAGCTGCATTGTGAGCTTTGGTAGGTCCTGCTATATTGATTCTAGCCCCACAAAAGTGTATATGCTAATATAAAACACTTAAAATAGGCAAACTCTTGTCCTGATAACATTATTGGCAAACTTCAGAGTTGCCAATATTTAACAATGTACCCAAAAATAGACTCTTCCAAACATACTTGATTACCTGAAGATACAGATAAGTGAGTCAGATCATGATGCTGATAATGCTAAGGGATGGCTTTGATCCCTGTATGGACCATTCACTGGAAAGCTGGACTCGATGATCCTTGTGGCTCCCTTCCAACTCAGAGAATTCTTTGATTCTGTGAAGTCCAGCAGCACAAAGCCAGATAGACAAGCACAAAACAGGAAAACACAGCTTTCCACCTAAGTGGCTACACTTTGGCCTGAGGAAGAGGAACTGTGGAGGTTCACAGGAAGGTAGATGAAGTTTTTGAGGGATTCCTTGTTATTGGGTACAATGCCATTGTTTTTCTTACTTTTAACCAGTTCTAGTGGTAGATTCAACTCATTATTCCTCTTACTTTTCTTCCCCCTCTCATGAAACAAGTCTACATGAAACTGTGGATAGGCAGTATTTTGAAATGAAGCAATATTTTCTACTACATTGAGTTTGCAGCCCAGTCCAGCACGGCAAGGCTAATACTGAAAATACGGCAAAGTGCAGCCAGGATGCGAGAGTGAACAGGGTGCAGCGGGTAAATGGCAGCATATTGTTGAAACAGTTTTGATGTCAAAGAAGGAAAACATGGGGCTGTATCCTGCCTTGTCTTGGCTGGTTCCAAATTACTGAAAGGCTGTTCCAAGCCTGAGCACCACCATGGCTCAACACTCACCCATGTATTGCCTCTGGGACAGTTCACTTTAGCCCTGCATCTTGATTTCTTGTACAGGAGTTCTACATCATGATTTCATCTTCCTGTATGGGTGGTAGGTGGAGTGAAAGATCCACAGTGTTATACTTCTAAACATTTTGACTATCCTAAGGCTTCTTAGGGTTGGGGGTTTTTCCATTTCTTCATAGTTATTTCTACAAAGCAAGACAGTGCATTTTATTTTAAATGCAAGGATTTTAAATTTCAAGGATTAAAAAATTAAAAACAGATAAAAAATAAAAAATGTGGGGAAGAAGAACTGAGAATTTTGAAATAACTTTAAGATATTCAAAGTGACAGAAAGAGACTGAGATTCTTTTTGCTTTCATACTAACAGACTAGATGTTATCCTTTGAGTGACATCAGTAAATATTTAGTGCAGGAGATTCCCAAGGGAATTGATAAGTCTGCCAGACCTTAGGCACAGACCCTGTACTCCACTACTTTTCTGTAAAGCACCATTCTTTTGCATTAGCCACCTCTGTCAAAGTTGAAAGATCGCAGTTCACAAAGAGTTCTGTCACAAAGGATAAATCCCCAGTCTGGGGACAGTAAATCATCTTTTTAAAGACATGTGTGACAGCAGCAAAGCTTTCAGTTTTAGACCTTAAACAAAGAGAAGTCATCTTGCAGTCTCAATTGCTAGCATAAATTTAATTTTAAATCAAGTTTAATTGTGCTGGGCACCACTACAAGTAGAAAACATTTTTTTGTTTTTCTGTCTTTTGCTATACAAATGTGGTTTGCATTTTAAAAAATGTATTAAGTGGTAGAAATCAGAGATAGATAGGAAGAAGCCTAATAAGTAATTTTATCCATTTCCTTCGCCCCCGTAGAGATGAATGCTTTGTCTAGTCTGGTTTTAAATATCTAAAATGATGAGGCCTCCACCTCTTCCCACAAGGGACTTCTCAGCCATTTAATAGGCTTCTTTGTTAGGAAATACTTGCCTCACACTGATCCTATCTTTTTTCTTCTGCATAATGTAGTCCCTTTCTTCTGTGCCCACTATTTTAACTTTTATGAAATCTGGGAAATGCATCATATTTATCCATTTCATACTGTAGCTGAATAATTCATAATCCTTGTTATTCAAATAACAAAAGAGATAAGCAGCCAATAGCTGAGCAGCTAATACTTCACTGAGATGCTGTACCATGTACCAATGGGTATATTTTGTGGCAAGTCCTGGCTGACACTGCTTTCTGCATTACAAAGTGAAAAATGTCAAAAATGTCAAGTGAAACTGAAGAAATGCATCTTCCCAAGTGCATGCATGGCAATATTACTGAAATTTCAAGAGGTGCTGAGGCAAACAGCCTACTTCTTTGGATAGAGCTTTTCTTTCTATAAGTGGGTGATTTTATTAAAAGTATGCTTTCAAAAAGCATTTGAATTTTCTATTCATAAGCAAACCTCTAGATGAGAACCACACTATGTCAAAACTCTTTAACTTGTTGAGAGACAAGGCTGGATTGATTGCCACTCACTGCTAAGCAGTTTTTGCTGACAGCTTAGCTCAGAAGAAAAATTTAATCCAGCGTTATAGAGTTTGAAAAGATGCCTTTGCAACTGTGACACTGGAATCAGATCTGTGCATGAAAAAATGACTCATGTTTTGACAACAGTAACTGCATTTCTGATTTAATTACAACATATTAGATAATCCTCTACCTCACTCAAAGGGCAAAAAGAAGCAGTGTGACTAAGGAAATCCTAGGTGGACAGCCAGATTTTATGTGATTTTGCATTCTTTAAAAAGGCAGCGTTATGCTTTATGTTGACCCTAGGCCAGGTGGGAGGTCTGCTAGGTCTCTCTAACCTCAGAGCTGTAGTGGATGCACATAAAAAAAGGTGTATCAACAGCCCACATGGATGTAGAGCTCCTCATATACCTGCTAATATATGGCAATCCACAGCTGGAGATCTCTTGAGATGGAGGTTGCGTCTGTGGGTTTGATTCTTGCCTATGGACTTCTCTGGATTCTTTTAAATGTTGTGTTTAACCCACTTATAGTCTTGGCACCTATAAATTCTCACAGTATAGGGTCTCACAATTTAATTCTGTGTTTGGTGGAAAAGGTCTGCTTGTCTTAAAAACCCCTGAGGTACTTGTTACATCTGCCCTACTTATTCCAATAAGGAAAGCAGTTCTGAGGTATGATGGCATATTGTTTCCTCTACACTCCTCAGAACTTCATCTATCCTTGGAGATGTTAACATCAGGGTTTTATCCCTTATACTTCTCCTCTTCTGCCTTTTGTCCAAGCTGAACATCCTAGTCTATTTGATCTCTCCTTGGGCAGCAGGCTTTCCATGCTCACCACCAGCCACTGCACTTGCCTGAACCTTTTCTATGGTTTGTTTTTTGGTGGTTTTTTTTTTTTTGTTGTTGTTTGTTTGTTTTTTTTTTTTTTTACTTTGAGGTGGGATGAAGCATTTAGAAATAGATTCTCATTAGTGCCATTTGTTGATAAGCCATGTGATCACATAAGACATCTGTACTCCTACAGCCATGGAAATTACTTTGTCATTTTTATTGGTCCTGACAGCACATCTGAGGTGTTACACTTGATTATTGCTAGTTTATGTGTTATACGGATGTGCATTGATAAACTCACTAACATGCGAGTTTATCCAGTGCATTCTAACATCCCTGTTTAAATTGTTTGGTTCACATGGATGCAGGAGACAGTAGATTTCAGAGAATATTTAATTTAATCTTGGCATAGACTGTATGGATTTTAGCTCTATTGAGCATGTGGCCTGACATTGCTGGACTGAGCAGCCACTCACCATCTCTCTCTGCCATAGTGATGGCATCTACCTCATCCACTTGCTGCAGCCATCCCAAACTACAGCCTAGAGCCATTTTTATTGCAAGAATATATTTTTCTTTTAAACACCTTTTACTGAATCTTTTTATTTCCTTAAGACCCTGTGGCTTTTTTCATGCCCTTCTTTCTTCATTCCAAGAAGAGGAGGTGCTCTCAGATAAAATTATTAATAATGATGCTGGGTAGACAGTAAGCCCATTACACTGGGTTCTTCATATTGCCTAGCAGGGCAAAGGTTTGGGGCCTCTTCCTTCAGATGTCCTACCAGATATAAGCAGGGACCTCAGCATTTTGCTGTCCTGGGCCTCACAGAAGGCTCTTTGCAGTCCCTGGAGGTCTTCATGCTGATGCTCTTTACATCAGTGTCCCATCTTTTAGTTAGAAAAACTGAGTGACTCTAAGGAAACATTATTATTGCAATAAAACTAGAGAGAGATTATTTTCTTTCAGTGAAGAATGAAATCATGAAGCTGAAACTTTCTGGGGCACTTCCATGGTCAGCTGCAAATATCTAATGACTTTTTTGTTTGTTTTAGTAACTAAACACAATAATAAAACCAGGTCAGTGAGGCTGCATGAATCATGCAGATAGTTAATGTAGTTTCACAAGTAGGTGCTGAAAATGTGTGGGGGAAAAGGGATTAAAAAAAAAAAGAAAATGGAGGAAAAGACTTGATGACATAATAGGGCTTGGGTGGAAAGGGCAAACAGCTGTTGATCTTCTACAAGAGATTGCAGAAATAATGCACAAAGACAGGTAGAATGTGAAGAATGTGTGTGTACACTCCAGTGTATTATGGACATATTGTAGAGTAAAATTCTCAATCCAACAAACTTGAAAAAAGGAAGTTTTAATCATACATTACTTTACTTTTTACTTTGTCACAAAAAATCCATAGGTTTTAAGTTCCAGATCAAGTTGAGGCTTACCAAATGTAACATGAGTTTTACGAGAGGAGTTGGCTGCTGTAACTGCCTTCTATAACTGTCTTTTTTAGATTTATGTCATAGTGTGGGAACTTCTTTTTGTTTCTGTTTATTTCATGAGTAGAATAATAAAATCTGCCACAGTCTTGCAGACAAGGAAACTATGACATGGAAGCAAACGACAAAAATATAACCATTTCTATCTGAAATAATGAAGTACTAATGTAATAGCAATTGTTTCACTCAATAAAACTAATTTTTCAGTAAAGATTTGTCATGATAAGCATATTTCTTAATGTGTGGGTTTGAAGGTCTTTAAGATTTTGTTTCTGTTATTTCTTGCAACAGTTTAAAATATAGACTGAAGGTGAATATGTGATAGTATTTCAATGTTTTAACCAAATAGACAAAACATTTTTGTTTACTGCAAAAGTATGTAAAGTGTTTTGTGCAAAGGAAGACTGCAAGAAAACTAAATTAAAGCTAGAAAAAGTTCTGGATGATCACTCAACCATGCATTTTTAAAATAAAATACCAGCATGTATGAGGGAGCATTCCAGGTAGCAGCCAGAAAGTAGTTTGCAGCATGTATTTTGCATTGGAGTCCTACATTTTCTGGCCTTGCTAACTGACTGGTTATTAAAAACACGGGGCTGATTCCTGTTTTAGAGAAGGATGTCCTTGCCTGGAAACCCTTAGTCCAGGCACCTCGAAAGCCTGAGTCCACAAGCATTTTCTGCTTTTGGAGGCAGCCAGCTGCAGGTAGGGTTGTCCCTCGCGGTGTCAGAGAGGTGTTGGTGGGCCTGGTCATAGTGGATACGGATGTGATTTGCACACACGTGCACAGGGAAATGGAGCTGCTCAGTGAACACACACTTCCCTGGCATGAATTATTCCTTCTCTTAGCAGGACTGCAAGGAGTAAGAGTGTTGGGTAAATCTGCTGGCTTCAGGTGCAGCTAGACCACAAAGAAGTGCAACTCACAGGGGTGCAGTATGTGATCTTGTAGAAGTGGGTAGAATAGGAAGATTTATTCACATTAGCCAGCATGTGGCCACTGGTGTAATTTGCATTGTGAATGGATGAGACTTTGGTTTAGTGACGGCTAGATATAAAACTCATGCAGTGCTTCTTTATTTTTTTAAATTGCAAAACCTTCCCTGCCATGTTCTGCTTCCTTCTTCTCTGCCAGGCTGGGATGGCCCAGAACTGCTCAGCTTTCTGATATCCAGATCTCATGATCTTCTAAACTTGCAGATATTTGAACCTTGGATTGTAGGACAAACCCACTCTGAGCTGAAAGCAACCCATCCTTGGAAAAAGGTGGAGGCGTATTGTCTATCACTCTTTCTAGTGTTGAAGTAAAAGCTCAGATTAAAATGTAATTTGTTTTGTCCCATGGTAAATTCAAACATGAAGTGTCTTTCCAACTTCATTTTTACCACCTCAAAATTTCATCTATTTCTCCTGGTTTGTCCTGACAAACCTTTATACATAGGTTTCTAAAATCAAGTGCATACAAAAACAAATGAGAAATCATGTGATCTTCACTTGCAAGTTCTTTGTTTCTTTACTGAACAGTACTCATAAAAGCAGCATAAAAAATAAATTAAGAAAATAGACAGCATAGTTAGATATCAGGCTGAACTTTTAGCACTTAACCAGCATTGCTGGAACCTCCAAAGAGGAAAATAAATGAAGTTTAGACCAATGTTCTTTATATGTTAAGACTAAAATTCAGCTCTCTCCCTCCTCAACCACAGAAAATATCAGTAGCTGCTTATGCATCACAAAGGGCTGCAAACCTGCCCCTCTTGCCATTGACACATTGTTTGAAAGGCGAATTATCTGGTGGTTAGTTTGACTGGAGGCATTGGTGTTTTGACCTGGGACTAAGCCCCTGGTAGGAGCAGAGGAGTGCACCTCAACATCACCTGGTTGTCCGTCCCTATGGCAACAATGGGTGGGGAGAGCTGGGAGGACTGTGACTCCCAAACCTTGAACAATGAGGACATTTAAAGATGCTTCTCGAAGGATGTTACCTGCCAGCTGTGCCTGCTTGTCTGAAACGTGAATCACGGCTGTCTCCTTGCCCAAGGAGATACAGCTGAACCATGTGGCGTCAGACACCTCTGGGAAATCCTACAGAACAAACTGAGTGAGCTTCAAAGGGAGAAGTGGGAGGAAAATCCTTGTGGGTATCTTTACACAGCAGCAAGGGAAGCAGCCCTGTGTTCCAGAGATGGTGCATTTCATTCCCAGCGTTGCATGTGATTACCCAGTACATGCAGCTTGTGTTGCATGAAGCATTCTGCCTTACTGCAGCGCCTTGCATTGCCTGCGCAGATTTATCCTCTTCCACGCTGCACAGCCATTAAAGCTGTAGGGCAATTGCACCTGGGCATTGGCAAAGCCAGCACCTCCTCCTATCCTGTCCCCATGGCTTGCACACATCTGGCACTGAACACACAGCCCCTTCTTTTCCAGAGGCCAGCACCATAACTCTCCTTGCCCAGCCCTCTCCCAGCTCTCTGCTGCCCCTGCCTGCCTCCCTGCTGGGTGTCTTTAAGGTTGTACAGGACTGGAGTGAATTTATCTGAAATGACAATTATTATTCTTGGAGAGAAAAAAAAAACTTTGAAATTTTGACATACATGGAGGTTTCTGGACATCATAAAGTAAGAAGAGTAAGGTGCCCTGTCATCTCTGCAGATGGCTGTCCCATCACCCTGTGCCACACGTGGTGCTCTCGTATCAGTGAGCACACCCTCAGACTACAGCAAAATCTCCCTCAGACTTCCTTGCATGTTGGTCAATGGTGGCTTCCAAACCCAGGCAGAATAAACAGGGTGAGGTGGATCCAGTGCTCCAGCACTTTGCTACTTGGAAAGCGTAGGGCAGCATCCATGAGGAAGCAAAGGGAAGAGGGGGAGCAGGAGTGGGGGCCCCCAGAGAGGACAGTGATGTGCAGTGAGTAGGGAAGGCCATTGCCTTCCAGGGTGGGGAGGTGAAACTGAGAGGCGGAGGCTAATGAAAACTCAAACCCCATCCTGAACTGAAAAACCTTCTATAAAGACTCTTTATTGCATCAGTCTTCCTTAAGGAAAATTTGTCTGTGAGCAAATGGCTCATAAAATTAATACTAGTGACAGGTAAAACTGGGCAAGAAAAAGTGAGACTGTCACTGGTTAGCTTGGAGGCTTTCCAGTCAGGCATGTCAGATGAGTTTTTCCTAGGCTCATCTGCTGAGCCTAGAAAAAGGTCCTGCTAAAGCTGTCTCAGATCTATCAGATGTGTCAGATCTTCTTCAAAAATTCAGGAAGGATAGAAGAAATATCAGGAAGAAGGGAAAAGACAGGTATGTTTATATTTTTCAAAAAGTAGTAGGGTAATTTTCAAAAAGGGTAGGGGCAGGGAATTAGTGACCGGTCAGCTCTTTGCAGCTCTCTGTGGTTCCCCTGATCAAGCCACCCTTATACTTGAAGGCAGGTGCAGAACTACCCATTGCTCCTGCTATGATTGTGTCTCTGAATGATTGAAATATTCCATATTTTTTATGATAAAGGAAAAATCCAAGGTGAAGGTAAAAGCATAAAGGGAAAAATCTGCTATTAAAAATACACTGTAGGAGTTGCATGCTTCTGAATCACCTAGGATTCATTTAATAACAAATTGTTTCAGTAAAACTGTAGTAAAAGAAATTTTCTATTGACATGGGTTTACTTCAACAGCTGCCAAGCACAAATCAAGGAATGTTTACTTTGGTGCCGTTGTCTGACAGAGAAGGATTGTTTCTGGCAAGCACTTTATATTGTATTAAGATATCAGTCAAAACAAACAAGAATGTGAAAATTGCATTTCAAAAGTAATCTAAAGCCACCATGCAGACTCTCAAACATTAAAGGACACAGTGAGGATAGGTGTGTTGGTATATTCAAAGAATGGCAATATATTTGTCTCTTTTAAGTTCTTGATGGGAGTGAAACTCTTCTTGATCCATGGATCTATTCTTTTAGCACTGATAGTGCTCAGACTTTACAATGGCAATGACTGTTTCTCCCTGCATCTGGATATCCCAACCACAAATGTGTTAGTGCAGAAAATTTTGATATGTAATTTAGCTGCAGGCAAGTCACAAGTGTCTCCTGTATTTCCATCACCAAATACCAGAAGGGTTAGAGAAAAGGGACTAGAGCAGATCAAAGCAGTGTCATTAATATATTTAAAATCCCTTCAGTTAACAATTTATATGCTGCATATAGCAAATAGCAAGTTAAAAATTCTTCAGATATGTAATTTCTTCTTTCAGCTTTACATGGTTTTCTTAAACATGACTGTTGAAAGAGATTTTCATGAGTGGTTTTTTTTTTTTTTTTCCAGTTGCTTTGCTGTACGACTTCACCTCTAAATTCTTCAAGCTGACAAAACCTTCGGTAGCTCAGTGTACCAGAAGCTCCTGCTGTTTGTCCCACTGCAGCATCTTAATTGCAGATGATAGCTCATGTTCAAAGAGCAGATACAGAGGTAGGACCAGTGATCTATCTAAGCTCTATTACAGTGTGAAATCTTTGTGGGAATGCTGCAGTCTAACAGAGAGAGAACAAAAATTAAAAATTACTTATCAAGAGTGCTCCCCAAACCAAGGAAGGGCCTCTCAGCTTCCTGGGAAAAGCTGTACACTCCATCTATCCTCAGGCACAGCACCACACCAAGATGTGCCTGTATGTGAAGTGCCTGATGTTACTGAAGTCACTGACAGGGTTTTCTCCTTTCTTTTCTGTGGGTAGGGGAATGAGTGTACAGGATGCCTCCTTACACCTAGTGGATGTAAGGACAATAATGGGGACAATAAAACCCACCACCATGCTATAAAACATAAACATATATGATTCTCATATTCATGTTAAAGGTGACACAGTCAAAGAAATACATCTTGCAGCTGCAGCAGCAAGGGGTGAAGAATGAAGATGGAGAATGGCAAAGTGTGTTGTCAGAGCAGCTTGCTAGATCTAGCAGCAGGTGCAAGAGAAGTTCTGCCTGCCACACAGGTGAGTCCTGCTCCTATCTGAAACTTCCGTGGTGCTGGAAAAGGAACTTCAACAAACTGGTCTTGGGTAAGCTTCCAGTTACCATGGGGTGCATGAGTACTAAACCTAGAAAGCCAATACTCAGGAAAGTATCTTAGAGCAGGCAGCAGAGAGGTAATTTAGATTTTCTGAGGGAACCTGCTTTTCTAGCATGATGATCTAAGGAGGTTTCCCAGCCTGG